AGGATAACAGTTTAAAGGATATCAGGAGCTTCAAATACTTCAGGAGTTTCAAAGATGTTTAAAGTATTTTTACAGTTTCAAGGATTTCAAGGATTTTTCAGCTAAATTCCACATTAGATCTGTTCCGCAGTCAATCGCAATGGCTTCAGCCATTGCAACGGTTTCTAGTTATAATTTATTATAGAGCTCCTCACAGCAGCAGTAGAACACTCCAGTGACTTGAATGTAATTCTACCTATCATTTTTCCGCTGCCCTTTGACAATGCAATCTCTGTTTGTAATGCAGGTGTGTAAAATACTGCCATTACTCCGCAAGTACAACGAGAGAAGCTAGCGGCGCTAGCCACGCTCAATAAACAAATACATATCAATCAATCAACACCATTAAATGTTAATCGGACAATACAGTATACATATACATCCTTAACACACATGCATGGACTTTTGTAGAATTTCTTGTTATCGTTTTCATGACCAAATTAATATTTTAATGTGACAAAAAGCAATCGCAAAAAACCCAGAAGTAACCATTAACATGTAGTTCCAGGGAGCTAGCTAGCTTAGCTGTTACCTGCCTTGCACGTCCCGGTGGAACCCTTGGGAGCTAACTATTTTATTTGCAGTTATTGAATACATTGCTGTCTAATATGTGTTCGGATATATATATATATTTGATTGACTGCGGAACCTTCCGCAGTCAACCATTGGTTTTGTATTTCTTTATTCCGTCATTTTTTTTGACACGTTTCACAGCTTTCACATTTTCAACAATTTCCACAAGTTATACATCAAAACGTTCCACATGTTTGGGAGATTATTGCTATTACTTTTGGGACTTCAGCGATTTCCGGTTTTTCCGCAATCGGACAAAAATCTGCATTGAGAATTCTGCAATGCATTTTAATAGGCCCATGCATTTTAATAGGACTTCAGCTCTTTCAGACATTTCTACAGTTTCAATGATTCAACAGTTTCAAGGATTCAACAGTTTCAAGGATTTCAGCAGTTTCAAGATTTCAAGAGTTTCAAGGACTTCAACAGTTTCAAGGACTTCAGCAGTTTCAAGGACTTCAGCAGTTTCAAGGACTTCAGCAGTTTCAAGGACTTCAGTGTAATCATGCAACCTAATAGGGATTTTTCCATGTAAACCAGTATAATGCAACTTAATAGGGATTTTTCCATGTAAACCAGTATAATGCAACTTAATAGGGTTTTTTCATGTAAACCAGTATAATGCAACTTAATAGGGTTTTTTTTCATGTAAACCAGTATAATGCAACTTAATGGGGATTTTTCCATGTAAACCAGTATAATGCAACTTAATAGGGGTTTTTACATGTAAACCAGTATAATGCAACTTAATAGGGTTTTTTCCATGTAAACCAGTATAATGCAACTTAATAGGGTTTTTTCCATGTAAACCAGTATAATGCAACTTAATAGGGTTTTTTCCATGTAAACCAGTACAATGCAACTTAATAGGGATTTTTCCATGTAAACCAGTATAATGCAACTTAATAGGGTTTTTTACATGTAAACCAGTATAATGCAACTTAATGGGGATTTTTCCATGTAAACCAGTATTATGCAACTTAATAGGGATTTTTCCATGTAAACCAGTATAATGCAACTTAATAGGGTTTTTTCATGTAAACCAGTATAATGCAACTTAATAGGGTTTTTTTTCATGTAAACCAGTATAATGCAACTTAATGGGGATTTTTCCATGTAAACCAGTATAATGCAACTTAATGGGGATTTTTCCATGTAAACCAGTATAATGCAACTTAATAGGGGTTTTTACATGTAAACCAGTATAATGCAACTTAATAGGGTTTTTTCCATGTAAACCAGTATAATGCAACTTAATAGGGTTTTTTCCATGTAAACCAGTACAATGCAACTTAATAGGGATTTTTCCATGTAAACCAGTATAATGCAACTTAATGGGGATTTTTCCATGTAAACCAGTATAATGCAACTTAATGGGGATTTTTCCATGTAAACCAGTATTATGCAACTTAATAGGGATTTTTCCATGTAAACCAGTATAATGCAACTTAATAGGGATTTTTCCATGTAAACCAGTATAATGCAACTTAATGGGGATTTTTCCATGTAAACCAGTATTATGCAACTTAATAGGGATTTTTCCATGTAAACCAGTATAATGCAACTTAATAGGGTTTTTTTCATGTAAACCAGTATAATGCAACTTAATAGGGTTTTTACATGTAAACCAGTATAATGGAACTTAATAGGGGTTTTTACATGTAAACCAGTATAATGGAACTTAATAGGGGTTTTTACATGTAAACCAGTATAATGCAACTTAATAAGGATTTTTACATGTAAACCACTATAATGTAACCTAATAGGGGTTTTTACATGTAAACCAGTATAAAGCAACTTAATAGGGATTTGTACATGTAAACCAGTATAATGCAACCTAATAGGGATTTTTCCATGTAAACCAGTATAATGCAACTTAATAGGGATTTTTCCATGTAAACCAGTATAATGCAACTTAATAGGGATTTTTCCATGTAAACCAGTATAATGCAACTTAATAGGGATTTTTCCATGTAAACCAGTATAATGCAACTTAATAGGGATTTTTCCATGTAAACCAGTATAATGCAACCTAATAGGTTGCATTATACCACCAGACCAAGACCCAAACGAAGACTCAGACCACCACCAGATAATGACCACAGACCAGGTTTCCTTAGTTACAGGAACCAAATTGTTTCAGCGGTGAGGGGATTTTTCAGTTTCAAGGACACTTTCAATACATTCAGTAGTTTCAAGGATTTCAACTGTTTAAGAATTTAACCAGTTTCAAGGATATCAGGAGGTTCAAGGATTTCAGGAGTTTCCACACTTTCAACAGTTTCCAGGTTTAAAAAAAGTTTCAAGGATTTCAGGAGTTTCAATGTTTCAACAGTTTCAAGGATTTCAGGAGTTTAAAGGTTTCAACAATTTCAAGGACTTCAGGAGTTTCAAATATCTATCAAGTATTTTAACAGTTTCAAGGCCTTTTAAAGGATTTCAAGGATTTTTTTTAGCAGATTTCCACATTAGATCTGTTCCGCAGTCAATCGCAATGGCTTCAGCCATTGCAAGTTTCTAGTTTTAATTTTAGTATTATATTCTAATTTTGAAGCCGAAGCCCTGGTGTTAAGCAGCGCTGTAGAGGCTAGAGGACGCAGGCTGTTCGCTGCTCGTTCTGTGAGCGGAGGAGAAAGAGCGGCCCGCTCAGACTCTACTCAGCACTTTTCACTGCTTGTAATTCTTACACAGCTGAATCAATTACCTCAAAATGGATGACTGTATTGAGGCGTGGAAACGGTAATTGGAATGCCCAAGCTAATTGATGGATTTATACTATTGACATTTACTATTGCAGCCTATTTTTGTTGGAAGAACATTTTTTTACTGTTGCCAGTTTATGATGAGATTAAGCAGCAAAGCAAGCCAACTCCTGTCGACATCTAATCTTCCAATTTCATTGTAGTCACATACAAAGTTGTGTTTTACTCTTTTTGTTATTTTCAGCAGACAGCCCCGACACACACACATTTTGTAACCGTTTCACATCTGTTTTTTCTCTTCCCCCGCCGTGTTACCTTACTCCACACAATCCAGATTTGCTTGTTGGTGGATCTGGTTCTTTACTTCATAAAGTCGTGATGGTGTGTTGTTGTGCTTGCTACAAATCCAATATGTATTTGATGAAAGGCTGAGGGGGGCTCCCTGTCTATTGCATCACATTGTTTAAATGATTTCCCCGAAGCCGCACAGCTTTACGGCCGCAAATATGTCTGACTCCTCTCGTTGTGTCGAAAATTATAGTGAGGCCTAGGAACAAGGACAATGGGATGGACACTGGTGGATGGAAAACTGGTTGTAACACCAACATAGGTCCTTACCAATAGTTCACTCAGGACTGAGGTGCAGTGGTTAGCGCTTGTGCCTGCCAGCAAGAATGTCCTGGATTTTATTCCACATCCAGTACTTTCTGTGTGTAGCTTGCATGTTCTCCCTGTGTCTGTACTATAGGTCTGGAATGTGCCTCTTTTATTGTGACCCTTTCTATCTGAGTGAACATTTATAAAGCACTTTGCGACACTGGTTTGTTAAAAGCAATAAATACGGTAAATAAAAATACTTACTTTGGATAATACTCCATAGATGTTGCTGGGCTTCTGAACTGGTCTTGGCGGACTGTGATGTGTGCGCTGGGACCGTGAGAAACCAAGGCTTCATCACAGGCACAAACTCTTCCATTGCATCATCAAAGGCTGTTGCTGGGCCCGCGTGAACTCTTTGAGCACAGGGACATATATGATGGACTTGTGTTACATTAGCCTATGTTCAGAGGTTTCAGATGATATTGAAATATTGTACATTTTGTGTGGGGATCGAGCTAAATTTGGCTAAATGCATGTATTTGTTTTGTGTTTAATTCACCCTGCTGATTTATCCATTCCATCTACACATCCATTCTAGCTTTTTCATCAAACATAGGGAGACTGTTACAAAGTCACAAAGTTATATTGCAAAAAGTGAAAAAAGATTGATTTTAGAAGTTTAATAATTATACTAATGGTGGATGAAATGGAATAAAAATAAAGTAAAAAAGTATGTCTCAAACCGATTACAATACAGCATTGGCCGATGCAATTACAATGTATTTGTATTGTATGTTAAGAGCCGATTGGCGGATGGCTAAGTGAGGGTGCTCCTCTTTTCACTTTTCTGTCAGAAAAAAATAACTGATCTGAAGATGTGATTGAGGCATGTGAAAACTAGTGATAGAACAAAGCTGTTTCCAGAGCTATAGGAACAAGTTACAGGTATGTTTTAAGTTATAACTTATTTTTTGGTGAGGTATCAAAGTAAGAGCTCTTTAGTTTTACAAAACAATACTGGTTTAGACCTTCAAAAGCACTGCAATATATTTCTCTTAAAAAGTACTTCTCTTTACTCCACAGGGTATGATGAGTGTAGTGGGCTGGCTGCTTCTTTTCTCCTCCACCATGGTGCCGGTGGTCTCCCAGAAGCCCCCAGGTCTCAGCGTGGGCGTGATCGTGGCCGAGACGCGCCCTGTCATGGATGAAGACCTGCGCCCCATTCGCAGCCCGGATGCTGCTCTGGACGTTTCCGTGGTAGTCCACCGCATGAACCAAACTGACCCCAAAACGGTCATCACAGAGGTATGCCCACTCTCCTCTCGACTTGTTGGAGAAAAGTAGACTCTTAAAAAAGTCCTGGGGATTTTGCAGTGAACCTAATCTGTGTATTCAGTGGTATGAAAATGGTTTGTCTCCAATATGATATTTTACGGAAATTTCTTATCCAAACAACCAATGATTTATAAAGGAAAGGGGTGGCCCAAATTGTTTGACACCAGCGTATCTGGTGCATTCATTTTCAGGCTGCGATTGTAAAATGTCACGAAAAAGCTGGGGTACATATTTGTTTTAGTTAAATAGATAATAAATGTTGTTTGCCCCAAAGAAAGAGTCTTGTAAAAGTATAATGTGAACCCTTTTGTACACTGTGAGGCCTGTCACTATTTGAAGCTGTCGGTTGAGGGGGGATTTGCTGAGAGCTGATTGAGTGAGGGTTTCGAGAGAGAGGAAATAGTTACAGGTGAAACTTTTTTTTACTCTAATACTATGTGAAAGGTGTATGCATAGTGGCTAATGGCAAGCCTTTGTTATAATTTTGATAATTGTGTTGAAAATATTTTAATTTGTTGAAAAGATGAGTTTTAACTAACAAATAGCAAATAAATAAAGACTTGTGTTTCAGCTATTGTTATTATTAATATTTTTCCACATATCGGCCACACCTTTATTAAATCATTAACAAACACAAAAACAAAATAGTAATACATACATGCATTGCTTTATAAGCCACAGGTTACAATGGACCCAAGTTCAGCAAGTACTGTAGTTAGATGGGGTTTATTATAATAATACATTTTTTAAAAGTTAGTCAACAGCTTTAAAATATCAACGAACAGGAGGCAACTTTCTAAACCCCTGTGTTGTCAGGTCTGTGAGCTCTTGTCTCGGACGCGGCTTCATGGAATTGTATTTGCGGACGGCACGGACCAGGAAGCCATCGCTCAAATCCTGGACTTCCTGTCAGTGCAGACCCAGCTGCCCGTGCTGGGGGTCCACGGGGGCTCCTCCATGATCATGGCCGACAAGGTATGTCCACAAGGGGCTGCTGTGCTTGTCATTTTTACTGGCCGCCGTGCTGGTGAGGTGAATTGAGCTGCTGTGGAGGATAATTTGGAAAAATGCAAACTATCACCACTGAAGTGTTGGCTAGTTTTACAGACGTTTTCTGAGTATTGGCTGGCCAAAATAGATAAATCTTTACTGATGTACAAATTATATGGGATTCTGTAACTAATTTGCGATTTTCGGGGGGGGGGGGTAGGGGACTGCATAGGGCTGTTAAGAGCTTTATAATGAAGCATGAAATGAACATATTCATGTTCCTTTAGTTGAGCTAAAGTCACCTAAATGTTGATTGTTGTGATTAATTGTTTCCTCACTAGATACTGAACTCTAGAGGTTTGAATCTTTAAAATCAGATATGGTTTGTGAATGTTAGCAAAGCTGAAGTTGGCTGGATGAACATTGAGAACATGTGTTTATGAATAATAATGAAAGTAATACATTGTACATTAACATTTTGGGACACATTATGCTTTTCAAAGGTAAAAGCATAAAACCCCCTAAAACAGTTTCAAACAGGTGGATTTTGAGCAGTAATTTGAAATCATGTTCATGCAACGAAAGGATAGATATTTATTCCATTGACAAATCAAAATTAACTCAAGAGACAGGGTTGTAACTACAGTGCCCCAGGATCAATTGCTTTGTAGGTTTTCTGGTGAGAGGGTTCGTTAGCAGAGAAACCCTTCCAAGTAATTGATCCTGCAGCCTCCAGACCACTGTAATGGAAAACCCCATGGTGTCCCCTCATACAGACACTCCAAGGGCAAAAAAGCCAAGCATAACGGCCCTTTAGATAGTTGCTGCCTCTGCATTTTAGTTAAGTAATTTGATATAATTAATTTGATATTCATTGTGAATATCTAATGCATGAATATAGAATATGATCTTACAATAGAATTACATAATTTATTTATTTAATTTAATTTATTTTGAAAAGAGTCTTTCAGTTGTTTAAACTGAAATGGACTGCTTGCACAGTATGTCTATTGGAAAAATAGAATGTTGTTGTTACACCTGTGTCCATATTTTTAGATTACCTTTTTTGTTTCATGTTTTCATTGTTATTTTAATGAAGTATCTTTGATTAACACTTCTATTAAACAATGCTGTAAACAGGCAGGGGTTAGGTTGCATTTGCCAGGCCTCAGACCTTCGATATTTGAGTGTCCCCTATACTTCATAATGCCAGTGTTTTGGTCCTGTATGGAGCCTCCACTGCGAGCCACGGAGGAAGTCCCCACATGACTCGACCGTTTGTGTGCATGCTCGCACTGTCCTCAGCAACACACTCCGCCGTAAATGAGCCCAACAAATCATTAGGCAAACATACCCCCCACCAGGACTTATTCAAAACAGACTTTTTAACAAGTATTTATATGCAAATACGCTCTCAATGAAATATAATGTGTTATGATTCTTGCATGGCTTTAACAATGTCTGTCTGGGATTGGGTAATGCTAGTGAACACCAGGGTAGGGGATGTAGTAATGTGACACCGTAAAATACAGCTGCGGAGGACACCGCTCCGAAGGGTAGGAGCAGGACTGAGGACTACCACGGTGGTCCTCTGAACTAACTGCAGCACTGCACACAAGTTTTCTGTGATGAATATTGATAGAACCAAACTGTTTTAGAGCCAAGAATTAGTGATGTGGATTGGTTTACTTCATAGTTCGGTTATTCAAATAATAATTCCCCCAATCACAGAAATTGTGAATAATGTCATAAGCTAAGCATTGCATACTTCTAAAATAAATAAGGTGAAACTGAAGATTGAAAAAATAACAAAAAGTAAATGTAAAATAGTCCCTGATTCATTATTAAGTGAACATTTCTTGTCAATATCGCTTACATCATCTAAAAGCTTTTTTTCTCACTTTCTACTGCATGGGAGCTCAGCGGGATGCCCCACAACAGCATTCACCCCTCTCTTTTTTTTGGTTGCACTTTTGAAGTCCGTTTGTGGGCTCCGGTTTGCAGACCTGGACGGCGCACAGACAGACTGCAGCGCTTTGATAGCATCTCTCGGGGAACACAGGAGAAGCGATAAATGGTGCCGCGCTGAGTTGTTTGAAGTGCGAGGGAACGGGGAGAGGAAGGAAACGTGTCAGCAAGTGTCCCACAGACGTCCCCCGCAGCCCACGCACGTCTTCACCAGTTTTTTATATCATTTTAATTCCTTTTTTATTCCCTCTTGAGAGCAGCAGAGGTAAAAGTACTTGTCTTAGATACAAGTGTAGATCATAGGCTGTAGAGGACTGCACTAACTGAGTGCTGACGCCACCTAAACCAGCACTAAACCATGACCAAAGTTGGACTAAACTAGGACTAAAGTTGGGCTAAACCACGACAACAGTATTACTAAGCCAGGAAAAAAAAAAAAAACTTGGTCTAAACCAGGGCTAAACAGACCTAATCAAAGACTAAACTCTAAATCTCTGAGGACTCTCCATGTCAATGCACCATCTAGAAATACATTGGTGGATAAGGGACAAAAAGTTATGTAAAAGAACGACCTGAACAAGAATCTTTTAGAAAAAGAATTATGTGAAAATCTAGAAACCAGGGTCATAAAAGGAAACGTGTTAAAAAAAGTTAAAAGTTAAAAACTACAGGTTAAAAAAACAGTAAGCACAACAGTAACACAACAGACTCACGTAAACAATACGTAACTTTCTTCACACACCAACAGTAATGAGAACGAGGCAGACTCTGCAACACGGGTCTCAGGATGTTCTGACCCGCTCTGAGTCCAACTGCTATGTCACAGGTTTCAACTAAACTTATTCAGGGGACAAGCCTCAAATATGCAAAACACTCATAATAATTTCCAGAATATTGGTTATCAACAGCGTGAGTTTTCTTATGTGCCGATGCAGATGCGGCTCCGTGGTGAAAGCCACAGCCACAGTTCTGCCGCGCCTGTGTATCCAAATCCATGTTTACACAATTTGAAAAGCAACAAACATTAAGCAGGGCTTAAAGTTTTCCGGCACCGTGCCGGAAATCCGGCGTGAGAAAAAAAAAAAAAAAAACATCACTTTTTTTTTTTTTTTTTTTAATATATATATAAATAAATAATGATTGCTGTCATTTGAAAAAGGTTCAAGTGTGTTCTACCAATTGTATGAAAGGATTGCATGTGTATAGCGCAGGGATTAAAGAGTTCCGTCTAAGTGACGGATTTCCGTCAAATGAAATTAGTCTGAAAAAAAAAACAAAATATATAATAATAATATAATACACACAATGAAATGGTTAATTATAACAAAATATATAGTAATACGTGTGAATCTGTTGTATATATCTAGATATATATTAATAATTTGAATATAATTGTATTTATATGTATATAGAAATAAAAAGTAATATAATCACGAGTGGGCCTTGAACGTGCCGTGGCTAGCTACATGAGCGCTCCGTAAATGATTCAAGGCAATGGGACGTAGCCAAGTTAGCGATGGTAACACGGAGGTGAAAGTTTCTGAAAAGTGCACGGAGCTTTTGAAAAGGAGAAGAGGACAAGGAAAATGTAATCCCGAACGGAGCAATAACAGCCAGCAGCCCGCGGACCGGTAAACTGGGCGCGTTATCAGAGGAAAGGTAGGACATAATTAACGTTTACCAAACGCAATGCTTTTTTATTTAACGGAATGTACAATATGTACTTTGCTGTGACTGGGAATGGGGACAAGCATGTCTTGGTGAGCTTTTGATAATATCTTGGTGGCGATCCGCATGCAAAACTGCGTGATAAAAAAGCAAATCAACGAGAGCGAACGGAAGAAACTCGCTGAAGAAAGGTGTGTGTTAGCAGGTCTTATATTCATTCATCAAAGCTAGCCTAGCATGCACGCACAATCACAATCATGGATCGTTGTTTATGGAAGAAGGAGCAGTATAAGTTGCTGTTGATAACAGTGAAAAATAAATGGAGGTGGGCATGGCTGGATGAGGTGGAGACGATGGGATTCTGTTGCTTCCTGGTGCAAAAAGATGAAGGTGTCCGGTGCTTGTTCGTACTTCGCTATTATTATTTTTTTATATGGGAGTAATGAGAAAACAGCTTTGGATTCACCACCAGCTCAAAACTGCGCACTTGGCAGCTGTCCGTGCACTTTCCCACACTTCTTTACCTGGTGCATCAGATTCAGCGACAACTGAGACTAGGCTTGCTCTGGTGGACTGTGTCTGTGACCTAAAACTATCTGTGGCTTTATCGCAGAAAATAACCTGTCGTTCAGAACCATCACTACCGCTGGTAGATTTAATTATCATTAATCATTTGCAGTTGATAAAACTGCGCTGTGCACTAGCACCAAGTTGATAGGGAAACCTTTTTCTTAAACATTGAGTGTCCACAAACAAATGTGGACAGAATTTTGAATGTCCTTTTGCGATATTTTGACGAGGACAGAGCCAAAGGACAACGCCTCATCTCGCCTCAAGTAAAGCCAATGATGCAGATGAACTACTCTCACTAATATTCTGTCAAAGAGTTGACAAGTTGCTTGATCCACTGGTTGTAATTTCACATCAAAATACACCAGTTTAAATGTATATCTTTGAAGAATTCGTTTGATCTGTAATTCATTATATTTCCATGAGAAAATTTTCACTCAAATCTTTTTTTTTTGCTTTAACCCCTGGCCGCTTATAAAAAACGCTTATTAGTGATCATTCTATGATTCATATAGATGGTTCAGGCTCAAGAATTTTTTCAACTTTAACCCATGCATTAAGTCAAAACGCTGAGTTACTTGACACATCTACTTGAGAATGTATTGTAAGCGCTGTTGGAAAGTTAGGCTCCCCAGCTTTTAATACCAAAGTAAATAGTCTCAAGATATGACGTAAATGAAAGTAAGAGGAGTCAGATAGCGCTGGTTTGATAAAAAAATACGTCTCTCTCTCTCTCTCTTGTATTAAGAGCCGACAAGACACATTTGGATGGGGATAATCCATCCACAGTTAGAACAAAGACTTGACTAAGTATCACTCCACAAAGTCTCTACTGCTGAAGTGCCCTGGCTCTCACATAACTGCCACTGTGAAAAGGAAAGGCCACTTGTTGTCCCACTCTCAACAATCAGGAGTATCTTTATAACTCCGGCGCACAAGGACATGGCCTGCTTTAGCGACGCAGGCATCCACACTTGTCTATTGATTCTCAGGAAGGATTCACAGTTACGTTCTACATGGGCAAGGATTGAGGTGTTTTTTTTTATTGGAACACTAGATTCTCTGGGCATATAAATGTACACTGTGACACAACTTTTAACAAAATACAACAAGTAGGCTACTATCATTTTGCAATGTTCTCATCAACATTGATTCATATGAATTCATAAAAAAACCCAGAACCTAAGTAGGAGACTACACTACCCAGGTGTACCACCTCAGGGCTAAACCTTCTTAACCTGGAGGTTTAAACCAAGATTAAAGCAGAGCTAAATTAGATCAAAAGCATGATTGAATCGGGGCTAAACCAGCTAAAACAACCCTTAACCAGGACAAAAACCAGGACAAAGCCAGGCCTAAACCAGTACTAACAAAGACCTAAAACAGGGATACACCAGGCCTATCCCAGGACAAATGGGGGCCTGAGTCCGGGTGAAACCAGGTCTAAACCAAGACTAAAAGAGGCCTAAACCAGGACTAAACCAGGCCTTTACTAGGGTGCATACTGTATACCAGAACTGGAGCAGGCCTTAACCAGGACCTAACAAGGATTACCCCAGGATTAAACATTGGATTTGCATGATTTTGGAGCATATTGTTCTAGATCATTTGAACAAAAACACATTTTTTTTGCTGCTTGCAAAATAACTAGGGCTGTCAAATGACAATTTTTTTAAATCAAGTTATTTACAGCTTAAAAATGTATTAATCGTAATTAATTGCATTTCGAACTCTCTGCAAAATTATGCCATATTTTTCAGTAAATGGTTGTTTGAATGGAAAAATAAATTACAACAATATTATAACAATAATTTCACATAAAAAATAGAAAATAACATTATGTCTTTCTGTACACAGTATTTTTTCTAAGTTGTATTACAACCCGTAATTTAATAAAAAAATTAGCTCATTCAGCTTGTGTATGAATTCAGGCCATAAAAAGTGCTGAGTAGAAACTGAGTAGAAAAGTGCTGCACAGGTATACAGAGCAGCATTGGAGGCAGTTGATAGTGGCTATACCTCGTCTGGCTGTAACTGTATACACAGAAAAACAGCCCAAAAGACGCAAAAGTGAGGAGGAGAAGAGAGAACTAAAGCGAAAAAATGATCAAAGAAGAAATC